TCTAGAATTTCTCATGCATGTGCCTGATAATTGATCCCCTATATATGGATTGGAGATAAGGCTGGTTCTATCGGATGTTTTTAATAGGATTCTGACCACTGTGAGAATAGCCGAACATGAAATGTAGCTGGTTGTATAGTTAAATAATTTTCTTCCTTTTGTGACTGCCTTGGACGGGCATCATCTAGAGGATGGCAAAAGTGAAAGCTTCATCAACCCAATTTGCCCTAGGTGCTTGAAGATTCACGTCATGCAAGGTTTGATTATGATCTATGTTATGAGAGTTACCATGATTTCATCACATGTCCCTCATACTTTTGCATATCATGCTTTAAATTCGTTCCTCTAAGGCTTTTTAAAATTTCTTCATATAGTAGTTGAATTCCGCAATTTCTAACTTAATTTGTGCTGCAATGGAGAGCTATAAAAACTCGTCTCACAAGTCGTGGCTATCAACTCGAGGAGAAAATTCGAGTAGTTTTTTGAGAAATCAATTTTATTAGTGAAGGGTTTGCATCAACGATTTTTTAAGAAGGTGAAGACAGCATGTAGAAGTGAATCTACCATAGCCCTTAAGCAACATGAGGAAGAAAAATTGCAATTGAAATTCCTGTGAAGAAAGTTATTGATTTAACTGAGACTTAGGTGCCAATTGATACACCCACATATGACATTGCCTTCACATCTCGCTTTACTTAAGGATGGAGTTGAAACTCCTAAAACGGTCGTGGATGCAATGGATGAGTTTCTTCTCTAAGAATGTTTTTAACTTCACAAATGAGGGTTGCTTTATTTTGGGTCTAATTTGCCCTTGTAACTAGTATTTTGAATTTTGGATGAGGTACCTCCTCATTTTGAAGAGACAACATGTTGATCGACTAGGTGACATGTTTTGTTGATCTGTCCATTAGAGTCTATAATACGCTCTCCAGTGAAGGGTAACAAAGAATCATCTCGGGATGAGTCGATGAGATGGAAGGCATGCAATAATGTATGGACTATGACATGGTGACATTTTACTTTTGAATAGGAGAAATTTGAGTAAAGTGCTAAAAAATATTTTTAATCATTTTTTTGAGGTCGTTTTACAACCATTAGAGTTGATCACAATTGCATGCCCACACCGAATGCTTGACTTTGTATTCATTTGAAAGAGTCAAGGTCAATTTTGTAGGATGGGTTACATGGGATTAAAGGTGTAAGTGAGCTGAGCCGGCTTGAACATGAGCTCACGAATCAAGCTTATTGAGCCTTGAGTTCGAGCTTGAGCATATAGTTGAGCTTGTAAATTATACGAGCTTGAGTTTGAGCTCAGCCTGACTTGACTCATAGGCTCATCGAGCTACTCATTTAATTTTAAAATTTCTTTTAATATAAGTTGCTTCAAAATGATTTCCTAGGAGTTTTTTCACATCACGTTCATGAGACAAGTTGGCGATGGATGGGATTACGAGAACTCGTCGGGTGCCTTATATAGTTTTCTTTTCCATTGCAAGAGGCCGTATGTCCATAATGGTCTTGAGTAAGAGGATCGACGATTCTGACTGCTACGACTCTGACGATGGGTTACATGTGATTAAAGTTGTATTTTATTCTATCCATCTTTGCAGCAGTATTGTTTGGAGGTATTAGGAGCATGGTTTAAAATTGTGCAATATGAGGCTCGCCTTTGCGCAATTCCAGTAAAAAACGCCTCGATGCTTACGCCTCGAGTTTTTTTTATGAGGCTTGCGCCTCAACTTGGTTGAGGCCCGCCTTGAGGCCCCTCCTCACCTCACTGGCATGAGGCTTACGCCTCACGCTATATATATTAAAACTTACATAAATCTTGAAGAAAATGCCCGACATTGGACTCTATAGGAGAGGAGGAAGGGGAGAGAGCAGTTCACCATAATGATGATTCAAATGAAGAACCCCTTAGTGATGACAGTGCTGATGACTTATGAGTTCTATTGTGATATTTCATTGCTATTTATTTTTGAAAATTGGAATTATATGTTAATGAAAAGAATACTGGGATTTGGGAAAGATAGAATTTTGAGTTGAACTATATTTCATGGTCTTATTATTGAGATATTTTGATTTCACTTCATATCTTATGCTTTTTTATATTTTATATTATTCACTCATTAGTATATAAAAATTAGATCATTTTATGTTTACGCAATCTTTTGATTTTGAGGCTTACGCCTCAAAACGCCTTGAGGCTTACGCCTCGCCTCACGAATGAAAAACGCCTCAATACCCGAATACGCAATTTTAAACATTGATTAGGAGAGCTTCACGTGCTTGCTTCTTTGTAGAAGATGCTATGATAATTTTCTTGCTAAAAAAATCTTATTTGATTTTTCTTGCATAAATCAGCTTGCAGGATTGGGTTCCTAGCTATTTAATAATAGTTGTGATATATAAAAGCTCAGGAATTATCTTCTGAACAGCATTGCAGAGTAAATCTTTTGCATTACGCTTGATGAACAAGTTAAGGATAAACCCATTATTAAACTTTCTTAGAAAGATGACATTTCTTTTAGAGATTTTTTGGATAACATTAGAATTAAGTATGAGCTTCATATTTAAAAAAAAGAAAAAAAGAGTATGAGCTTCATATTTTCTTCATTTTGAAAAAAATGTATTCCTATGTCTTTTATGTTCCTTTATTGTAGGGCATTGATTTAGCATTAAATTTTTTGTTGTTGTTAGCATGCTAAAGATCTTAATAAGATAAAGGCTTGTTAATCACATTTAAATATGAATATGACAAAGTAAGTGAGATGATTACTTATTTTATTTTGATTAACAAAAAATCATTTTCAATTATGGAGGAATTTGAATTCAATTTAGTTATGAAATTGTTGATATATAGTTAGAGACTATTTTGATCTTTCATAAAGAGTCAATGAATCATTTTAATCATTGTCTCCAAAATAATTTTTTCTTAACTATAAAACTATATTTAAATATCATAATAGTTTTATCATTATTTGCTGCATTATCAGCAGATATATTTAACATTTTATTTTCAACTTTTAAATTACAAAGTGTTTTGTAAATACATCATCTATCTCAAATGCAGTATATGATAATGATAAATGCAAAATACTAAATACACGTTTTTATAATCTCCAATTAGAATCAACATCATGGCCTTTTGCTACTACATACGATATTATCCGATTTTTAGATTTCCATAAATTAGTAGTAGACCTTATTTTACTAATACTATTAATTTTTTTTTTAAATTTACTTTTTTTTATTACACCATCATAACATCATTTATTGAGTGAGCGAGCTCATTAACGAGTCGTGTTGTGGCTTGGCTTACTTAACCCCTATCATGAGCTATAACATATAGAGTAGCAGTTGAATATTTTTCTACCTGTTGTGAGTGCCTTGGACGGGCACCATCTCGAGGAAGACCCTAATGAGTTTATTGAGTGAGTAATGTTTGATAACTTAGTCTAGTTTGACTCGTGGATATCAAATAGTGTGGAGTTTTGTAGCCAAATACTGAAAGTCTAGTTAGTTTAGGGCGGGTCCTTATTGGAAACTTGAGCTCTAGTGACTCTTGATGACAATTGATGGGCGACTTTTGATTCTATGTTCAAAATGTTTCATCATTTATTAGCGTTTTAGACCTAATATAGGCATGTCTTCCGTATTACTCATCTAACCCAAATAAATGTACACAATGCATATTGAATAGACTACTTGCTATTCCAGTCCTAAACATTTTCTACATATATGGGAGGCTAATTATCAGGTCTTCTAAATTCTTTTGCTGGAGAATGTTTTCGTGCATTTTTATTGGCCTAGTAAGGAGAGAGAGAGATGATGGCATGGGTGAACTTATGAAATCGAAAGAATAATCATAAATAATAGTCTGCCATAATTCTATTGTTTAAGACAGAAATAGTATTCTGCTTCCCTAACAAATTCACTTAATAGTGGAGCCACATTAACCGCCATCAAATTCAAATAATAATTGTTATAGAACGATGTGCTGAAGTAGCATGGCATTCAAATTTTTTTTCTTAGTTGTGTAAAATACATGGAATATAATTTTAGTAATAATAGTTCTTGTAGGGGGATTATGATTTTGGGTGATCAAGTCATTAATAAGAGTACACGTTTTAGATATCTTGGGTCTATTATTCAGAGTGATGGTGAAATGGATGGGAATATTATGAGTAGAATTCAAGTTGGATGGTTGAAATAGAGGAAGTCATCGGGCTTGTTGTGTGATAGAAAAGTCCCCTTCCAATTTAAGGGAAAATTCTATAAGATGGTGGTTAGACCTGCAATGTTTTATGGTATAGAATGTTGAGAGAAACATAATATTAAGTTAAGTGTTGCAGAGATAGGATGCTTAGGTGGATGAGTGACTTTACTCTTAGTTTCTTAGAGGCATGATACGAAATGAGCATACACATAAAAAGGTCGGAGGAGCTCCAGTTGATGATAAGATTAGAGAGATTCGTGTTAGATGATTTGTTCACATAAAACGGTAGCCTTCCGACGACCCGGTTAGGAAAATAGATATATTTGATTTGACTTATGTTAAGAAAGACAGAGGTAGATCTAAAAAGACTTGGTTAGAAAATATTAGAAATGATTTTTCTTTATTAGATTTAAATGAGAATTTAACTTTTAATCTGGCACAATGGAGAAAAATGATGCATGTAGCCAACCCTATATAGTGGATAAAGGCTTCATGTTGTTGTTTGTTGTTGTAGTTGGGTAAAATATATTATATTTGAGTAAAAATTCTACTCTTATATTTAAGTAAAATAACTAATATATGACACTACAGGAAAAATGCTAATTACCGATAGATTTTTCTGGCGGATTTTAAAAATTTATTTAAAAAATTATATTTTTGTAATTTTAAAAGAATTACTAATTAACTATTTGAAATAAATGAATAATATTAACTAATTTAAATTAAGTATTAAAATATTTAACTAAATTGATTAAATATTTAATTTTTTTATTAATTTTAATCTCATGGGCATCACATGAGGACAAAGAATGCTGTGGCGTGCGGGCAGTGGGGCTCGCTGGTTTTTTCGCTGGAAAAATTTTATGGCGTATAGTTTCGCCGGAAAGTTTTTTCCTAGAGGCTTTTACTGGCAGCCAAAAATGTATTTTTCCGCCAGAAATTTGCCAATTTCCGACATTTTCCTGAAGTGTGATAAACATTATATTTGGGCTTCAAGTCCTTATTTTGGGTGCAAAGATTTTTTGAGTAATAAATCGTGCTTTTCTAACTGAATCATATGCCTAGATCATCGTCTTTATATCTAAAAGAATTCTGATATGTTATATTTGGGTCAAAAACATTAGATCCTACCAAAAAAAAGACCTTCCACCTCTTACATAACAAATTAACAAATTGTTAACTTAGCCCCTTTTCAAGAATACATCTATTTGTGCTTCATAGCATTACACTCTTAAAGCAGTAGTTTTCTATCTTTCACTAATAGAAATTACATGATTAGCTAACCCTGTGACGCGTACCGCAACTACTCGTATTCTGTTTTGTAGGGAAAGTACTCCTGCAGACAAGGTTAGAGAAGCGCACAGGAAGGTGATGGTTGCAAACCATCCAGATGCAGGAGGAAGTCATTACCTCGCTTCTAAAATCAACGAAGCAAAGGATTTGTTGCTTGGAAAGACCAAGGGCGGTGGATCTGCATTCTGATTTTATACTACTGGGAACATCTCTTTGAATTCTACTTCTTCAGTCTTATTATTCAGTGGTATGTCTCTTTATATTAGTATGATTCTGCTGTAGTTAGTTCATTTTTTTAAAGAGAGAATTACTTACATCATCAATATCATACATATTTATTAGAAATTTAATATTATTGAAAAAAATGATTGATTGAATTCATGCATTTGTGTTTGCTGTGATTAAATCATTGGTGTTCTGATTGAAATATGTGATTTTTTAAGTTTGATGAATGGAGATATGAGGGTGTTTATTTTGTAAATAGTTAGAATTTAAGTGGTTTATATGAAATTGTTTTTTTTTTTAAATAACCTAGTATTGCTGAAATTAGGGTTTATACAATTGAGTTTTTTGGCCAAAGATTCGTTTATATCATGAGCAACTGCTGAGAACTTTATGAGAAGTACCAAAATTTGCTCAAAAATTTGAAGAGCGTGTTAATTATTGAGGGCAGCATTTTTTTGTTTGGATTCTTGCAGCTGTTTATAAAAATGATTGAAGAATTATCAACAACATCAATAATAATATTAAGTCTTTTATCTTATTACCTGAGGTTGGTTATATGATTTTTTTCTCATTATGTTCTATTAAGAGATAAAATTTTATGATACTTTTTAATCAAGTCTTTTTGGGTCTCTATTTTTTTTAATATAGGTGATATTTAATAAATCTATTCTCTTAATTGCGTGGTTGAAAGGTTGATATTTTATGCGATAAAATCATCTAAGGTGACTATCAAATCTTATCTACAAGTGGAGTTACTTTAACCTTTTCATGTATATACTTGTTACACATTCTATCTTTAAGAGTTGATCATCTTCATCTTTGTAACGTTTAATTTTATGCTTCTCTTTTAATGTCCAATATTTTATTCCATAAAGTATTGTAGGTTCATCAACATCTTGTAAAATTTTTCTTTAAGTTTTGAGGGGTATTTTTCTATCATACTACATGCCCGATGCATTCCTCCACTTCAACCATTTCAAAATATCCTCTTATATTTCATCGACTTTGAACAATAGATTTGATATATCTAAAACACATACTTTTAATGGCTTGATCGTCCAAAGTCACAATTCATCAACTAGATCTATTACTACTAAGATTATACTCAATGTATTCGGTTTTAGATCTACTCAATATTCAATTCTTATCTTAATTCGAGTTTCATGGACTTGCTTCTTTGCCCATATCTATCCATGATGTTGTAACCTTTTTTTTTTTTTCTAAAAGGTCAAATTGACCATATGTTGTGACCCTTGCTTATTTAACATTGCACCCAGGTATCGGTATAATGGCTTTTGAACAGTACTTGTTGTATTCATGTTGTACAACTCGTCACTTCCAGGAAATGCCCTAGTGTTAATCCTAATATATTAAATAATTCATATCATGATTGTTGAACTAATTTTATATTGATTGTGGACTATCTAACACAATTTTCATTTTTTTATCTAGGACTTAAAAGCATAGCAATGACAGTGTTGATTGAAGAATTACCACAAAAATTAACTTTAAAAAAATTATTATGAGTTTTATGAACTCTTATTTTTTGAAATAATGTGACAATACAATTTTCATATAAGGATCATATTTTAATAAATCCGACTATAAAAAATTACTTCTCATCACTAAATTTTTGATAAGTAGCAAAAAATTTGCAACAAAACTAAAGTTTCTTGTCAGAACGAGATACGAAAATGATACATATACAATTGATCAAACATTAAAATCAACTAATTAATCTTCAATAAATTTTTACATACGATACTGTTTACTTCCTTTTTATTCAACTAATCATGCCTTAACAACCATATTATCAAGGAATTAAAATTAAGCCTTAAATAATATTGAGATTAAAACGATCTCTCATATAAATTTCAGAGATTCTTCTCTTCTGCTTGGATTCTCATTCATGCGTGCTTCACCACCATTCGCAGTGCTGCTGCGGCAGCTATGAGCTTTCTGTCTCGATGAACGATAATTATTTGATTGAAGGATTCATCAGACCGGACATGGCTCTCACCATCCTTCGGTTCCCCGTAGTTATTCCACCTGGATTAGTTTCTAGTAGCAGATTTCTCTTCATTGGCTGAAGAAGAGAAGCCTTCGAAGGTCTGATCTTTGTCTTCCTCCATTATCGTCTCCAGCGTTCTTGACGGCTTATTTTTGTGCTTGGCGATGCGGATCAGCTGCGGCGGGGCCACTTCCACGGCGTACAGAAGTAGGCTGTGCGCTCTCGCCATTATGTATCTGAGATGAAGAAGAAGTTGATTAATCACGAGGCTTCTGCTTATGATGAAAAGCTTGGTAGTATCAGGATTGATTGATTGATTCTAAGGAGGTTTAAAGGATATATTTATAGAGTAATTTGCACGCGGAGAAAGACTTGATTTGTTATTAAAGCGTGTGGGTAGATATATGTAGTTGAATAAAGTTAGAGGAGCTGTGGTGGGGGTTCTACAAGTTTTTATTTTTAAACAACAACAACAACATCAAGCCTTTATCGCACTATGTGGGTTCGGCTATAAGTTTAAATGAGTGGTGGGGCTTCCAATATTTTCTAACCAAGTCTTTTTAGGTCTACCTCTGCCTTTTTTAACAAAAGCCAAATCTAATGCATTTACTCTCCTAACAGGTTCATCGGAAGGCTGTCATTTTACATGACTAAATCATCTAAGGCGACTCTCTCTAATCTTATTTGTCACTGGAGCTATCCCAACCTTTTGATGAATTTGCTCGTTTCGAATCCTGTCTTTAAGAGTAAATCAACTCATCCAATTGATCATCCTCATCTCAACAATACTTAATATTATGCTCATCTTTAAGCTTACAAGTTTTTTTTAAGTGGATAAAAAAATTGTGATTTATTATTTTAAGCTTTGGTTGGAGAAATGTTAATAATAAGCCAAATCAATACTAAATTGAGCTTAGCATTTGATCCGACAAGCTTTGTTGGGAAGCCTTTTAACAAATGAAGTTTGAACCAATTTGAGCTACGTCAATTACATCCCTATATGAAATTCAATGCATGCTACTTTGTATAAGTTTCGCTATAGAACAACAACTTAAAAATGTTTAAAAGTTTTTTTTTTAATTATTTTGAAAAATAATTTATTTTATTTTAAAATTTTAGAAAAAGCTAAATAGATAAGCTAACATGTCAAAAACAAAAGCAAAAAAAATAATAATAAGTATTTACCAACATGCCCAAAAGGTTTTTTTCTGTTAAAACAAGAAAATCCCACAATAGAACCTTCTATATTACAGTGTTTCTGCCAATTTATGACAATGTTATCTTCTGGAAAGCTATTTTTTATTTCTAAAGAGAACCTAAAATTTAGGAGAAAGTGTCAAAGGAAATTCTTTAAGTCAAAAAATAACAAAGTAGAGATTTGGACGGGTCTAAAGTTTTTGGGCTTTCTGTAATCTAGAACGGCTGATGAGGTGGATGATATATGACAAAAGGGAAGATTCACACCAGTCTAGAAGCTTGTATGATTTTCAAATGGACTTGATCAAAAGTCAATATTGAATTGCGTAAAATTTTATTCATAAATTAAAATAAAATATTAGGTCAGCACATAAAAAGTTAAAAAACATAACATTTAAATGTCAACGAATCTAGCAAAAATATTTTTCTTGATATCATAAATTAGAGTTGGTGTTGATGATGTGTATTAGCCATGTATAGGTGATGAGATGCGTCGATATTATTGGCGACGGCAAGCAATGAAGCTGTATTATGGGCGACAGTAGGCAATGAAGCTGGTGTACATCACTGTAGTTGAGATAGTCAGACAATGATAGTCGGAGGATTGCAGTCGGACAATGATGATGATTCGAGGATGATTAAATGATTGTAGTCGGACAATGATTGTTAGACGATTGTAGCTGGACGAAGGTTGTCAAAGGGTCAAAGTTCGGCGATGGTGACAAAGAGACTATAGTCGGACGATAGTGTATGATTAAAATCGGGCTATAATAGTTTGAGGTGAGTGGGAAAATTATTGTTCCACTAAACTCCCAGCTTCCTGTAGCCACACACGACATCCAACCCATCTCTGCATACACATGTTGACCTAGACCTACACGACCAATCCTCCCTCGTGCCCATCTGATCCTAGTGCCTGATTCATGTAGTTCTCCCGATTAGCCACACACGACCCGACCGACCCCATATCCTCCTCTTTACGCAACATCAACCAATTCAACCCGACCAGCCTCGCCATCTGGCCCGATCCTCACAGATTTTAGGTCACCCTCAGCTGCGTCATATCAACTTAAACCATTCTACCTATACCCAATCCAATCTGGTTTGACCTAATCAACTTTGTGATTTGATTCGCTTGATGCCTCTCCCATTTATGTGTGATTTAAGGTATTATATATATAACGAAGAGAAGGGAGAAGTGGAATTTTTTTAAGACATGTATGGTTCATTTGAAGACTTGTGCCATCAATCTTTGATCCAACAAGGAATGCACAAATTGAAGCCTCCTATGGGCTTCAAAAATTCGGCCCAGGCCTCCACCCGATGTGCTTTTTCTTTTTCGGGGGGATTTTTAACGGATTAAGTTCCGGGGTAAATTTTGCAAAGGCAGATGAGTTTGTAGATAAGACACTACCCAGAGATTTCGCCCTCATTTTATGAGGACTTTATGATATGAGTTCTGGTTTTCTATAAGCGCAAGGCCCTATAGTTAATTGCCCCTCTTGATCACAAGAGAAAACTTTCGATTAAGGCTAATCGTCAATCATATACGTAGAAATTACACATCTGACATATAGTAGCAGCATGGGCATATGTATTGGAGAATTTGATAATTTTGATTTTTAAAATGAAAATTTCACCATCTTGCACTTAAAGCGGATGGCGGGAAATGAAAGATATTTGCTTAATGGGACAAATTTGAATATACCTTAGCTAACAAAGTGCTTTGTGCCATATCGATCATATATTATTGATTAATATCTAAAGCATTTGATGTCAGTGAGGAACGTATTTGCTCTGGCCATAACCGATATTTTTGTCGTGCCATTTGGCGCCAAAACCGCCGGTTATAGGACACGTACCACGTCCTTACTAGCAGGAGATTGTTTGAGAATGAATCATATTGATATTTTCAATTAGACATTCGCTCTATTTGAGATGAAGTAAATTTTAATTTGTCCACCTCGACAAATTATTGCGGAGGGTGAATGGATGTTGTGCTTTAAATATTTGATGGTTTAATTTCAATTTTAAATATTTAGGATTTG